CCCAAAGCCCTCCAAGGTCAGCAGGGTTTTGGGAGGTGGGAGGAGGGCTGTGTGTCAAACAGGCACCCCAACCACCACGTCAGGTCAGCAGAGGACACAGAGAAGCCTATGCAGACACAAACGTCGGCAACGGGATGCCACTGAGGCTGCACTGCACACGCGCCGGCTGATGGCAACACCCAGAAAGGCAGAGAAAGCCTTTACTTCATCTGTGAGCTTGTCCAGCCAGAGATCCTACCCCTTCTCTGAAATGTGCAGTTCTCAAAGCCACACTGTCACTTTGAGCCTGCAGGGATGGTGCACCAGGTACAGACCCCTCCGTGTACAGACTGGAGTGTTTGAGCCAGGACCCTGCACCTGGCATATGCCCTGGCTGCTTCAGTAAGGGGACACCGAGCTTTCTGACTCCAAACAGGTCCCCCAGCTGCACAAGAGCAGCTTAAGGAACCCAGAGACATCCAAACTCCCAGGTCAGCATCTCCCCTGACACTGAACCAGAGCTCTGAGCGACGCACTAGGGCTGGAGCTGCAGCACAGCACTTCTCGCTGAAGACACGTTTCCACCCCCAACCAGCCAAAGAGAGACTGTCATCGCTGCCACACCAACACCTCAAAGGGTTTGGCGGTGAGGGCAGTCCCCACACCCTGGGACAGGGCACACAGGGCACGCCTGATCTCCCTATCACCACTGCAGTGACAGCCACGACTAACAAGCCAATGGGCATCCCAGGCAAGCCAACTCCATCTTGGCCAAGCAGAGCACAGAGCTGACAGCAGCAGCAGCAGCAAAGCACCCCCCTCCCCAAGCTGTCAATCCACAGGTTCCCCCAGATCCCCGAGAAGCTCTGATCCAGAGCACCAGTCCCACAGCCCTCACCCCAAAGCACTCACAGGGTAGTAGTCAGCAACGTTTTTGACTTGTTCGTAGTCATCTGCTCTGGCTAGCTGAGCCAGGCCCTCAGGGTAGAGCTTGCCACAGTGTGGGAACAGCTTCGCTCGGTCCTCCTTGGATAGCTCAGTACCAAATGAGTTGATGGTGATAATGAAGGCCCTCCGGTCCGCTTCAAACTGCGTGAAAAGAACGGTTCACCTTAGGATGCAGCATCCTTGCCAGAGGCCAGGAGGTACTGATGCTGCTCTGAACAGAGCCACATCAGAGGGCAGCATAAGCGAACCACCTGGGACACGTACAGCTATCCGCTCAGCCAGGGCAGGCTCCAAGTAAGCCCAGTAGCTGATGCCTGGGGAGAAGTCAGGTGACGAAATGCCCATCCAAGGGACAAGCCAAATCACTGAGCAGAACCCTGCCCAGGCCAAGGAGCTCTCTCACCTACTGCCCCTGAGCCCTGCACATCCCACAGCTAGCCTTGGCACGGAGACAGGCCGTGCACTGAACAGCTCTGGCTGTTCTCCTGCTGGTTACCCATGTGAGAGGATGAAGATGCTGCCCGGAAGGCAACAGATGTGTCAGCAGCTGGCAAGATCAGGACTGGGGAACCAAACCTGTCCAAAGTCACGGGCAGGCAGTGTTTTCCTAGGTCTCCCAGGGAGAGGGCAGAGTGTGCATGGGGATGCTGAAGAATATCTTGAGCATGGCAGGCAAGCTGGGCCTGAGCACGGAGCAATGAGTATCACTGCAACACCAGTTGCTACAGGGGTTTCCAGACCTACCTCCAGGATCGGGCACATGGCATCTGCCGTGGTACCTCCCAGCACCTTGCAGAACTTGTAGAAGGACTCCAGGTAAGCCTGGAAGAGAGAGGGCAGAGGAGCACTCTTCCACTCAGCTTCACCTACTGCTCCACAGAGCCACTCGGCAGAGGACAGAACACAAGCAGTGATGCTCCCAGACACTTCGTAAGACAGCACGGGCGCTCTCACCCCACATGAACTTAGACATCAAGCCCACACAAGGGAGAGAGTACTTTCCCAGGAGCTAGAGATGTGATGGGTCATGGTTGGGTTGGTTCAAGTGACTGCATGAGTTTACTGCAGGCAAGATCCCCAGGCAGCAAGGTTAAAGCTTATTTTGCTCCTTTGAGTCGTCTAACTCCAAAGCTGAAGTCTTACGTGGTTTCCTGACCCCGCTCTGGCCTCCACAAATACGCCAAACCACACAACCATAGCTGCAAGACCTACACTCGCAAAGCACCGCTGTTTAAGTGGAGTCAAGAGATGAGACGGGACATCTGTGAAGGAAACTAGCCATTCTCTGGAATTCTTTTTTCACACTACAGCCACTTGGTCTCCATCCCAACTGGAGCACTGCAGAGAACATATAAGGCTAGGTACAGCTACGCTGCCTCCAGGAAACGTAATCCTTTGTGGAGATGTACTGTAATCCAGCTGGAAGATGACTGTATCTCCCGGGGGGCAGCCTATGAAGGCTGCGCATGGCTAAAAGTGCTGTTCAGCAAAAACTTTCTCAGAAGTAGTCATCATGTGATAAAAATACCTCTCTGGACAGAGAGTGCGACCAGAAACACTTAAAAGGGATGGAATAAAATGATGCCGAGACATCACAAATTTCTGCTTTGTCACAACAACTCCAGGACTGAAGATGGACCAAGATTGCATGCGTTGGACACCCTCAGCCTCTGCACTAGGAAAGCACCTGGATCACCGTGTTCTGTAAATATTTGTTAGCATACAGCACAAGAGGACGCTGCTGGGTGAGCATCATCCATCAAAGAAACAGCGTCTCCAGCACTTGCCACTGCATAAGTGCAGGACAGCACAGAGCATCAGTCTGCAGAGTGACCACAGGAACAAGGACATGGACAACGGACTTCGCTTGAGGCTGACACAAGAGGGAACCTAGATAAGAGGTTCAGTCACCACCTCTGCCTTTCTCAGAGTTCACACACAAACCTAAGGCTTTAAAAGCAAAAATAGGTGAACTCAAATATCCATCACTGAATAAGGATCCAGTATCACAGACACCACAGAAACACGGGCTGTAAACCATCCGCAACGGGATACCCTCCCCTACGGACCCCTCTGCAGGTAACAGCAATTTACAGAAACTCCCCAGTGTCCTGAAAGCCTTATCCCAGAAATGGTGGTGTCTTTGTATTTAATAATCCTTAACGGACTTTTACTTTCATAACCCACACATTTACCCTCTGCCTCCGGCTAGCCTCACTTGTCTGTCACATCCAGCCTAAAGGGAGACCTGTGGCCTGTCCACCCACGCTGACTTTTCCAATGCTGCCTGTGGTTACCACCACAGCTCAGATTCTCTCCTCTTCCAGGTAAGGAATCCTAACCTTTTTCTGTAGTTTCCCATACAGAAATCATTGTCCCCAAACCTTTAAATGCGTCCTCCTTAGCAGCTTCTGCTGCTCATATCTGGACATGAGAGAGGAGAGGAACGAGACAGTGTTCAGGACAAACGCGCTACAGATGTACGCAGCGGCACAGTGATATTTGTGTGGTTCTTTCCTACTGCTAGGAACAGATTACCTTGCAGAGAGATACTTCCTTTGGTCAACCATAAGCCAAGATTTCATTTAGTAGTAGAAAGGAACAAGGAGACCCTCACTGTACAAGCAGAGTTAGGATTACCTCCTTGCCTCTCCCATACATCAATCCACATTCATCCACATGGATTTGCCTGCTCAAGCCTTCTGTCTACATGCTCACAGATTCATTCAAAAAACCTCCAGCGGGTCTGGGAGGTAGCACTTCCCCTTCCCACACCAACTCCTCCTGGACGCAGGCATCCCTCCCAGGCACTCAGAGCAGCTCTGGGCAGATTTCAGACCTGATTTGGTTTCCCTCATTTGCCTGTGAAGACCATTTGCATTATATTATACATTTTCCAGTCCCTGGGGAGAAAGGTGGCTTCAAGTGAGAGTCTGTAAGCAGCAATTGCCTTTTCCACCCTTGCATCCCCATGATTTGTTACCGATGGAGCCCCTCTGTTCCCCGGGGGCTGCTCTTTAGCAAGAACCAGTCCCAGCACACACCAGGCACCTACGCTTCAATTTGGGGGTAGGAAGAGCAAATGCAAAGCAGTTATCAGGCCTCAAGAAGGAGATGGGAATGGAGCTGGGACCCACTGAGATGCCCCCCACCACCCCCAACCTGTTTGCCCTGCTCTCACTCTGCTCCCTGCCTTCCACCATCGGCCTCATCTCAACACAAAGCTCCGCACCCTGCAAGGGTGCGGGTATTTATGCATACAGGCATACCTCCCCCCCATTACAGCAAAAGACCAGTACACGCCAGAGGCCACACGCAGCTGGGCATGACTGCCGAAATGCAGCTCCTTCTCCCCTCCCTTTGCCTCCTTCCCTTCACGCCTGACCTGTTCTCTGCCTCTGCAAACAGGCCACGGCTTCCTTGGGAAGCAGAGGTCACGATAACTGTGGGCTGGCTGTGACCAGCCAAAACAAGGTTGGCAGATACAATCTGCATCCCACCCTTAATCCAGAAAGTCGAGATGAAGCGATAGCCACAGCCTGCACATAAACACATGCTTTGATACTGCCAGCTAAAACCAGACGGGGCCCGCAGAGGAGACGACAGCTCCCCGTGCAGGCTCAGGACAAGCCCCTCCACATCCCGGTGCCAATTAATTCTCCCCATCCTGCAGAATTCCTCCACCCCGGCTGCACCTTTTATGCTGCTCTACCAAGAGCATCTAACCCCAACCAGAGGCCACTGAAGGCTTGAGCAGGCTGTTGGAGGCTCTTCTGAAAGACCTCAAGACAGAGAATCAAGCCCGTGGAAGCCCTTCAACCAAGTTTAAGACCTAGGCACTTTAGCCCTTTGAATGCAGTCAACTGCACGTCTAAACTCCTGGGGTTAAGAAGTAGCCTCCTCCTGCCTGGGGCCTGAGAAAATTTATTCAAGGGCATAACCTCTGCACAAATCTCTTGCACAGACTCTCGACAGCCTGACAGCTCCAAAAAAAAATCCCCACTCTACCTAGCTCCGGTGCCCTGACTCTGCAGGGCTGGGTGATCGGATGTCAGGCCCCTCCAAGGGTACTATCTTTACTTTCCAATGGATTCAACTAGTTCTTGGTCAAGTTTACTCTATCACCACTGCAGGGAAGAGAGAGAGAGAAAGCAACATTATTTTTAAGTCTACTCCAAGAAGAAAATACCCTCTCGTCTCTGGTTGAAGAAAGCCAGCCTAGGCTGGAGCTCCTGACCCAAGATAGAGCTGTAGTCACGCTAGGAATAAACAAGGAAGTTA